CCTTCAGGACATTTGATATGTAAAAATTAAAAGAATTGAAAAAACAAAATATAAAGAAGCTACCCTACGTGAAGACAAAGATTGAGAGGAGCTCTCAGGTGGAGATGAAGCAGGGTGGCCTAATAGAAAAAGGCAGATTCTTTGCAGCCTCCCATACCTGGATTCCCAGCACCTTTACCTGCTTGGTAGCTGTGTGACCTTGCACGAGTCAGTCCTTCTCTGAGCCTTTGTTTTCCCACCTGTGAAATGGGAGTCACCATATTTCCCCTAGTACTTGCAAGGATCGAGTGAGAAGGCAGAAGAAAGTGCTATCACAGGCTTGACACATAGTAGGTACTTAACCAAGGTGGATTTTTTTAAAGGGGAAAGTGGGTACTTTGTAGCTGCAGCCATTGTAAAAATGGTGGGAGAGGACTCTGCTCTCCCAATAGGCCCATGCACTAGAGTGTGGGAGTTGGGGGTCTGGCAGGTAAGCCCCGCTGGATGGGGACCACCACGCCCTCTCCTCCCCACTGCCCCCCCAGTCTCTCCAGGGGCTCAGTCATCAGCTTCCTTTCTATAACAGCCCCCACTCTGCCTAGCCACGGTGGCTTCGGCTTCGTTGTTCTCATCCATGGCTCCAGCCTGTCTGCTGCCTCTGAGACACCAATTCATTATTTATTTCCTCATACTGTGCCTTTTCCACAAGCTTTCCAAGCAGTGCTGACTACATGAGGAAAGTGAATGAACAGTTCCCAGGCACTTACAAAGGGCACTTAGACAGAGGTCATGTTGGTCCTCCTAGTGGGCCCCATTTTACAGACAGGAGAAAGTGAGGCTCAGAGAGGTAAACTGGCTTTCCCAGCCAGGGTCGCAGAGCTGGGATCTGACCCTAGAGCTGGGAATTTTGTTTACTCCACAGCCCAGAGTCTGCCGCTGACTTCCACTGCCTGCCCGGTAGTATGTGTGTGTCATGCATCTTCACTGCATGCTACAGAGAAGTAAATGGGGGTGCGGGGCAGGGGGTGGGGGCAGTGGATTGGGGAGCATTAGTGCCGGTGAAACAACAGAGAGATTCAGCCCTCTAGCCAGTGTGGTTGAAACACGTCTTTTCCATATTATAAGGAATTAAGATCGTAATTAAAATGTAAGGGAAACACATACACAGACCCCTTCCTTTCAAGGCACAAGCTGACTTCATTCTAGCCACAGTAGGAGGTTGGGAAGTTGGTAGAACCACAGGGAGGAAGTTTCTGCTAAAGAACAAAGGGGCATTATTGATGACTTCTGATGAAAGCTAAGTAATGTGCTCCTCTCAGACTCACTGGGGTCTGGATATCAAATTGTCCTTGTTTTTGTTTCTGGAGCTGGGGCCGCTGGCTGGAGGAGGGTTGCGTGTGCTGGCTGTGGTGGCCCTTCCTGGGTCAGTGGCTCTGCTTCTTTACCCGTCCCACCCGCCCCACCACAGGTTGTCCCCCACCTCAGGGCCTGGCCAAGGGGTACACGAGCATAGCAGCAGTGAGGGTTCAAGGGCATATTGTGACATAGATACTCATTCAATCCCACGGCAGTCCTGAGGGGTGAGGATTAGCCTTCCAGTTTTTAAAAATTAGGAAACTGAGGCATAAGGAGCAAGAGTGATGCAAGGGAGTGGGGGGAGCAACCAGCCTGAGTCCCCACCTCTGCAGCTGACACCCCTGTGAGTGAATCCCCTTTGCCCCTGCCCAGGGCATCCATCCGTCCACTCACTGACTCATTCATTCCTTCGTTTGCTCCTGTACTTGGGCTCCCTACCTACTCCTCATTCGATCTTTCTCTCTCTCACTCTCTCCCTTACTTAATAACATGTATCAGGTGCCTGTTGTGTACCCGGTGCTTCTGTCTTCTCTCCTCAGGCATCCAGGAAACGAGAGTTTCCGCAGGTGGGCTGAGGTCGAGCTCTGGGGAGGTGGGAGGAGCTTCCAGACTTCCAAACAATGAGCCAACCTCTGGCCTCGGTGCTTCGCCCTCAAGGGGTATTTTTTGTCACAAACACTCTTGACACTTACCTGAGGAACACCCTGTTGGGGCCTTAGCTGCTGCATCTGTACAATGGACTCTCGGAGTGCTTGGGACCTGGGTAATACAAACCTGTGTTGCCTGAGGCACCCTTGGTGTCCTGTCTTTCCATGAATTCACTTGTCCCCTGCTTTGAAAGCCAGGTGGAAAGTGGAAATTGAGACCCAAAGGCCTTCTCTGGGAAAGAAGTGGTATTTTACCCATTGTTCTTAGAGTGGATCTCAAAGAGGTTTAGAAAATCTCAGATCTTAGTAACAAGGTCGGAGCCTTCCAGTCAACTGCAAGATGAGATTAGGTGTTCTTTACTGAGCACCTCCTCCGAGTTAGGTGCTCCAGACATTTCCCCGCAACTGGCAAGGTAGGGGTGGTTGTCCCATTGTGTGGGTGAAGAAACCGAGGCCCAGAAAGGCCCTCCCATGGCTAGAATTAGTAAATGGCAGCCACAGTTCAGCTCCCAAAGGCCAAGTTCTTCCTGTGGCCACAGCAAGGAAGGCCCCAGTGGACTCCTGAATCCTTACCTCAACCCCCACTCCGCTCTAGGCCTCTTTGCCATGTACAGCAAGGACCTGCACACCTCCTGGCCTCAGTACCCCACAGGGGCCCGGTTCTCCTGGCCCTTCTGTGTACAGAGCAACAGCCTGTGGGAGCTAAGTGCTATGGGTATGATTTGCTTTATCTCTGTTTTTACTCATTTGTGCTCACGTTGGCCCATCCCCACAGGTCAGGGAGATGCCAAGTCACTACCTCCCTTTCACCAGCCCTTCCTTTAGTCTGTTCCAGAGATACATTTCAGCCTTCTAACATCTGTAGTTGGTCATTTTCTCCCCCACATCAGCCAAGGAATCACAAATGTGGTGAAGTGCATTGTCTTGCCACCTCCAATGTCAGGCCTGAGTTCAAAGACAGACAGACTGCCACCTGCTGCAGCCCCATGCCTTCATTTACTTTCCAGTGTTTCAGACAGAGGAACCATGGCCCTTTCAGGCCAAGGCACAGCCATGACTGCCCACATCCTTGGTGCCAGGGGTTTCTGTTTCTGTGGCTACCCACGTGTCAGAATCCAGGGGGCACCACAGCCCAAGGGCACAGCAGTACCTCCTCCTCATGACCCCCGCTTCTCTTCACCTATAGATACGAGTGTGTCAGGGAGGCCTGAGCAGGCTAAAAGCATAATAATCAGAGCAGGAGGCCATGGGAGCATCAGGCGGTTGCTAGATTTCTCTCAGTTTTTGAGGAAAGCCCCTGCAACCCAGAATGTGCCAGAATTCTCCGTCTTCTGTTAACTGGTGACCAGCACCTTCAACAGATAGGGGACAATAGTGACATGCTGCTGAGCTGCAGAACAGCAGTAGATACACTGGGGAGCTCCCTGCAGGGTCCTCTTGACAGTAAGTCTGCGATGAGGTTAGTTGCTTAGCAGCTTCCAGGCTCCCAGGGCCTCAGTTTCCCCACGCTGTGTTTTTTCTTGTGTACTGCATGTGTTGTCTCCTGCTGCTCCAGGCCAGCCCAGTGAAAGGAGGCTTCAGACTGGGTGCCAGGTGTACGTGAATCACAGGCACACTCAGGTCCAAAGTGTATATATGAATATAGATGTGTGTGTGTGTAGTTATTTTTTATTTTTTCATTATTTGCTCCATTGCACTTAGGTCATATTTTCCTATCCTCTGATCCAAGCTCTAAAAGCATTTTGCGGTGTAAAATCTCTCATCATCTGATCCACTCTACCGAAATAAACCAGCTCCCCTGCCGTCATCTTCTGAAAAGTGCCCCTGCGTCATTCTCTAAGGCTGGCAGGGAAAGGCCTTGCCCACTGAAAACACTTCATGATAATCCCCCAGCGCCCCCCATCCTCTTCCCTCCCTGGGGGGCTGCTCCGGTTTCTTGGGCTGTTATTACTGGAATGCCAGCTGCTCCACTTACAACCTATCCGTACAGACCTGCTCTGTCTGTCTTGGGCTTCACAGGCCTCTGCTTAGCTCATCTCGTGGAAATATCATTTTAAAAATAAGTGCCAGTTCGATTTCCATTTCCCTCTCCTCTGGTGTGTCTCCTAGCCTCCTCCACATGGCACCAGAGGATGCATTAAGGCACTTCCATCTCAGAGTCTTGCAGTGGTCGAGTGTCATCGGCTGGCTGGCTGGCCACCCAGTGGTGCCTCTGGGACTTCCCTACTAAGCTTCTTGTGGACCCTGAGGTCACAAGACCAAGAATCATCTGGTCCCAAAAGTAAATAGTGCTGTAAGAAGCTTTGCCCTAGTATAAGCTTTCTGGTAGCACCTTTCTCTAGCACTCGCCTTGGTTGTAATTTTGCATTTATCAGGATGATTATTTGATGACTACCTATCCCATTGATACAGTACAAGCTTCTGAGAGTGAGACAAGATTTGTTTTTTGCTCTGGTCCATCCAGGACAGTACTAGTCAACCCACTCCATATCTCATTCTCAGGCAGCAACTGCACCTGGGCCTGTCAGACCTAGTTCTGGTCCCCGGATTGCCACTTTCTGGCTGTGTGGCTTTGGGCCAGTGGCACCGCCTTTCTGAACCTCTATTCTTTCATCTGCAAATAGGGTTGTAAATATCTGATAAATTTAGAATAGACATTAAGAGTGCAGGCTACAAGGTCAAGGTATACCTGAGTTCAAGTCATAGCTCTGTCACTTGCTGTGTGAACTAAGTATGCCTCGGTTTCCTCACTTGCCAAGTGGGTCTAATAATCCCCTTCCTCATTCAGAGGGTTAATATGGGACTTAACAGGAGCTGATGATTACTTTTATTATTATTAAACTTATCATCCAACAGGTGGGGTTTCTGGAACCCTGAGAACGTCCCAGATCTGGTTGGTTACCATGTGGTGGGCATGATGGGGCACAGCTGTCTGCTGAGCCCCCTGGCATGTGATTTGGGAGGCCTCTGGCCTGGCACTCCCTCCAGCGCTGCCCTCTGCCCTCTGCCCTCTTTCAGATCTGTGCCATCATCGGTGGGACCTTCACTGTTGCTGGCATTCTGGACTCGTGTATCTTCACAGCCTCTGAGGCCTGGAAGAAGATCCAGCTGGGCAAGATGCATTGATGACCCCCCCGGCCCAGTGGCCTAGGACCCAGGGAGACCAGCAGCCCTGCCTCCAGCACCCTGTCTCCTCCTGCCCTCTGTCTGGCCCAGGACCTGGCTGCTTCCCAACGTGGGGGCGGGGGGAGGTAGGAGGTGGCTCACGGTTTCGCAGCTACCTCTTCTCCCCATGGTTAATTATAGATGAATCACACTGCCGAAAGTTGTGGTGCCCCTGTCCCTGGGAAGTCCCAAGACCAGAGTCAGGCAAAGGGGGCTCAGGGATATTGGGGACACCTCCAGGGAGGGCTGCAGTCCCTTCCCTCTTAGGAAAGTAGCCCAGAATCCACATTGGCCAGCTCTCAGCCCGGCTTTGACAATCTTGCAGCCCCCACCACTTGGATGCACTAATCACTTGGTTTCTCCCCTGGGCAGTCAAATTGCAGACCTGGGCTCTCAGCTTTGGACCGTGATGCCTAAATGCATCTCCCACCTGGCACCTTCAACAGAGGATGGTGCTTCCCAGGCAAGCTCCTGAGACGTGGTACTGTAGATGGATCCCTTGATTCTGCTCCATCCTTGCCTGCCCAACCCAGGGCCCAGGCCTCAAGTCCCTCACCACCCCACTTTCTTTTTCTCCCAAGAAGCCGATGCCCAGTGGTCTGCCCACTGGTCCCTGGGCAGGTGGCAGGTCCCCCTTCCTCTCTTAACCTGTCCCTCTCAACTCCTGCCATTGTGCCTCAGTCCCCGTGCTGTGTGGCAACAGCATCTCTTGTTGGAGGGACTGGCTGTGACTGGGAGTCATCCTTTGAGAACTAGACATGGTTTGTGCACTTATGTCCAGACAGAAAGCATCCTTGTCTGCACCCCTAAAACTATCATGTCTCAGCCTCCTCTGGACAGTGCCAAGGCCTCAGGTGAGGCACGCAAAGCAGACCAGCCCCTCTCCTGTCTTTGGATGTCCACCTTCCAGGCTGCAGAGGGTACACAGCACCTGGACCTCTTTGCAGCCCAGTTGCAGCCCCTTACCCCTGAGCTTCCCCATCAGCTGGCCACATCAACATGTTCTTGATCCCGGGAGCACTCCGCTGTCTCCCCACTTGCTCCCGAGGTGGGTCCCTACCCTGCTGCTCCCCCTCATCCTTCCCCTATAGCCCTGAAAGGGAGGGGCAGTGTTCCAGGCACAAATTCCACTCAGAGAATTTTAGGTATGCCCTTGTGTCCCAGTGAGAGAGCTGCCTGCCTGTTTTCCATTTATGTCAAGATTGTTTGCATACTTTTGTAATTAAGGGGAGTGTCCAGTGGAAGGAGTGTTTGGATGATCTATATGGATAGCTCAAGTCTCTGTAATTTTTGGCTCTGAATTCCAATTAGAAAAGCTTCTCCTTTTGCATATGAGTTGACTGATGTTGTGCGTGTAAACTGCATTTGGTTATTTCTGGTATCTATGGCCACTTGGATTGATTTTTTTGTTTGTTTTACATTCCGTTCCCCAGTTACAGAAAGGAGTCCCTTGGTGTGTGAATATGTGTGCCTGTAGAAGGTGGGCCTGGTCAGGCGGGGAAATGTGTGGCATGCACATAAGTTGAAATTCCACTTTTATGCATTTTTTTAAAAAAACCTCTTGAGGACATAGGGGATGTCAGTTTCCTATGGAAGAGACACCCTGACCCATTATTCTTATAAATAATCTCAAGGGGAAAAAAAAGTTTTTGTTCCTTCCCCACTCATTGGGTTCAAATAGATTAAAAATCTGATTTTCAGAAATACTGCTTTGTGTTTGTTTCTACTTGATTGTGGCTGGGTAGCCTGGAGTCTGAATCACAAAATGCAGAGACACTGGGAAATTTATAAAAGATCTTTGAGGGTGATCAGAAGAACGTCAAGACCCCTTGGGTTCAGCCCTTCCTTTATTGAATCCCTACAGAGTGTTCCTGGATCTACCACTGTCTTGCTGTGTGGACTCAGGCCAGGTCGTTAATCTTTTAGTACTTCAGTTTCCTTCGGTGACAATGGGGATAGTAATAAAACAACCTCAGGCATGTTGCAGAAATTAAGTCTGTAATATGTGCTAATAAAATATACTGGTTCAAAATAATGTCATGCATGCAGAAGGTGGCACACAGTAAATTTTCAAAAATGGTTATTGTTCCACAGGGGTATTCCCAGATGGAATATAATATCCACAAGAACAGTGCTAACAGGTTCCCAAGCTTTGAGCCAAGGACTGCATAAATGAAAGGTGTTTCATAAATTCTTGGTTTCCAAGGACCTGGCTTTTCAACCTTCAGCTCAGCAAAGGGACATCATCTGCTGTGAGAAAGGGACTTAACGTGAATGTTTGCCATCCTGCCATCCAGTCCTTCAAGGCCCCCATCAGAACATCACAGACATGGAACAGCAAATCAGGGATAAATGTGTAAGCGAACCAGTCTGCAAGAAACTCTTCACTGACCCTCTCCCATTCTCTCTTTAACTTCCTGTCTGATACTTGAGCTGTGACACTCAAGCTAGTGGTCAATAGTATGCCTGCTGGTAGTCTAGTATATGTGTTCTCAAACCTGTTTACACCAGCTGTGCTGTATGCTATGATGATGTGACTTAGCTAACCAATGAAATGTGATTGAGAAATGAAAGAATCTAATCAAACTAAGTTGAATACTTCAGAGAGACCTGATAAAGGTGATTTGCCACCCCTTCCTCAAAATGCTGCTAAATTAGATGTATACAAGACTATTGAAAAGATTTGAGGGTACAAGGGAAGTCTTTGAGGATTCTACATTCACATCACAAGTGTCTAAGTTCTCCATTTAAAGAAACCAAGACTGGGAACTTTTGGCTTGGTTCATATAAGGGTATGATTTATTGTAAGGAAAATGAAGAAGGGCTCCAATAGAGGTTTCTCAATGAAAAAGCCTGCTTTGGGGTCAAAAGATTGGTGAATGTGGTCTAAGCTGATATAAAATTTAAGGTCTATAGCTGTCATTTATGATTTCTCCCTCAAACCAATTCTTTGAACCATCCCGCCAAGTGCAGAGGCTGGTAATTGTGTGTAAGAGGGCTCCCTTGTTGGGGATGACCATGCAAACTCATGCAGTGGCAGGCGACACGTTGGGGGCTGTGGTGGGTCGGGCAGAAACGGCTTCTGAAGAAGTGTTGCAGTTGCAGAAGGAGCGACATGATGGAGTTGCATCAATGGAATGAGACTCGAGCGCTGCAGCCCACGCTGGCTGCCGGGGGTGGGCAGGTATCTCCAAGGGGTGAAGCTTGGGAAGAAGTGAGGCATAGCAAGGAGCTCATAGGTAGCAGCTGTAGTTAGTTTTTATTACTATATGTCACAAATTTGGTTTCGATTCTTGCCAGAAATGAAAATAGACATTTTTTCAACGTGGCAGGCCATTGATAGCCCTGATTTCTTCTTTAAAATCTGGTTCATTCAAGCTGTATGCTGAGATTGGCATATTTTATTGTATGTACCTCAATAGTAACATTGATATTAACATTCAATATTAAAAAACTTTTTAAAGGAAAAAACTGGTCCCTTGGCTGCTGTAGCAGATGGGTGCAGCAGTCCAGGAATGTGAGAGCAGACAGTGTGAGGGGAACATCACCCTGGGCCATTTACCTCACCTGCAGTTGTTCTCTGTCAGTCATGCAGCGATGAGCTCATGTACTTTATTCTGACCAAGATAAGTGATTTTTATTTTAACTCTTGTAGTAATTTCTACCAGTGGTTGGGCATTCTCCATGTGCCAGGCAAGGCATGACTGTTCAGGCCGTGCCTTTTTTAATCCTCACAGCAATCCTGTGAAGTGGGCGTTACCTCCGCCTTAGGAAGGAGTGAATGGGGACTCGGTGACTTGTCTCAGTCACACAGCTAGCAGGTGGGAAAAGTGAAATTCAAACCCACATTCCTCCTGGCTCCACAATTATGAAGAATTGCATAGTTTTGCCTCGGTCCCCAAGATCATCTTTGTGTCAAAAGGAAAAATTGACACACACACACACACACACACTCCAAAAAGAGAAGGGAAAATTGAAAGTAATGAAGGTACTTTTGTTTTTTGTTTTCTTCTTTTAAACAGCCTGCAGAGGAGAGCTAAATTGAACACATTGAGGGTCTTCTTACAAATTTAAAACCCTTAGAACATGATTTTAATTACACAAATCAATACACGCTCATAGTCCCATTGGAAGAAAATCAGAAAAGATCAAAAAGTAAAAAAGGGAAAACTAAAGTCACCCATAATCCCATTAACCAGAGATAATCATTGTTAACATTTTAGTGATATCTTTCCATGAATAAAATGGGATCATGCTGGTAATATTTTGTTGTTTACACCTTTCTATGTTAATAAGTATGGATCTCATCATCTTTATTGTCTGCAAGACAACATAACCATATTGAGTAAGGTGGATCATGTTCACCCTCTGCTCCCATCTCATTCAGATCCTGTTTCCTCATCTAACAAAGGGACAATTTAAGGGGTTGCTCACCAGATTAAATTCTCAGCCTAATAAGACTAGCCATTACTATTCATTTAGTGAACAATTTCTACCATTTATTAAGTGCCATCTACCACTTGTTTGTGCCAGGCATTGTGCTAAGGGTTCGTTTAATCCAGACACCAAACCAAGAGTGAAGTACTATCATTTTCCCCTTTTCTCAGTTGGGGAAAGTGAGTGATCAAGAGGCTAAATACCTTATCCAAAGCTAAGGAAGTGGTGGAGATCCAATCACAAGCAGTCAAAATCCAGGGCTAACATACTTGCCTACCATATCACCCTTTGCCTTAGAGACAAAAATATTCCCTGAGCATTTCCTCTGTGCCAGGCACTGTGCTAAACCCTGAGTTTTCTATACCAGTCTCAGTACATGTTTCCAAGGGTGGGCATGAGGCAAGATGGTAGCCAATCCCACTAATTCCTCATTAGAATGATAGCCTTAGGCTTTCATCATCTCATCTGGTGATGTCATTGCACCCGCCTTAATTGTACTGAGCCATGGGTATGGAGGAGGGGGCGTATAAAGAAATGCCTCCCCACCCTGGTTGCTCATGAATACACTTTGATTATTTTGGGTTGTAATGGCCTGTCCTCATATGGTCCCTTCACCAGTGCAGCTCTAAATTCTTTAGGAGCAGGATAAGACTCACTCCCCCCCAGATGTCTTTGATCTAGCCCTCTACCTGTGGCTCCATGTACATGCCAAATAAATGGCGAGCAAATGGATGAATGTGTGAGTAAAATGAGTAGGTGAATGAGTTTAATGAATGAGTGTGATAGAGAACTGATGAATGAACAGAGAAGAAGCCAGTAAGTAATGAATGGAATGAATGCACTTATCAGGGGGGCTTGGGTCTGATGAACACTGTTAAAGGCTGCTCTGAGAAGAACTCTCTGGCCGTCTATGTACATTCAGCTATAACATCTGCTCCTGCCTTGCCTATGGGAAATGACTTGCTTTTTCTGTCCCAGCTTTATTGAGATATACTTGACCTATATAACATTGTGTGAGCTTAAGGTGTACGAGAGTTGATATGCTTACATATTGTGAAATACCATAGTAGCATTAATTAACACCTCCATCACCTCACATAATTACCATTTCTTTTTTATAGTGAGGGCATTTAAGATCTTCCTTTCTTATGACTCTACCTACTGCACCTCCTTAGTCTTGGAGCCTGGGGCACAGAGACAATGGGTGGCCTTTCATTTGCTTTGCCCCAACAAATTTCACTACTCTGCTGCCCTGGCTAGCCATCCTCCCTGAGTCTGAAGTCCAGAGGTCTCTAACACTTATTGCAGGGGATCTGGAATGAATGAAATAAGACCCAGCAGGTCCAGCAATCAGGCCAGATGCCTTGGCTGATCATGAGTATGAGTAAGTACTGGTGTTTAGCAATTTCGCCACCATGCTAGGGAACACTAATAAACGGGAATGGAGCAGGGGACCTACCCGAATCTGAGAAGACATCCCCTTCTCTGAATTTCAGGGTGCCCATCTATTAACCCAGCACCACTAACTCTTGTCTGGCGTCTGGCACAAAGTAGGTGCCAATACATGAATGAATGAATCAATTAGTTCAATGAGTAAACAATCAATCACTGGGAATCTCCAGCACAGCGGAGCCGGGATTAGAGACCCGGTCGCGCAGGGTGTCTCAATTTGACAAGCCGTCGGGTGGCGCCCGCGCCTCGGTCTCTCTTTATGGGCCTAGAGGTGGATCTCGGGCAAGACCCGGCGCAGCAAGGCGGCTTGGAAGAGGCCGGGGTGGGGGTGGGGCGCGGGACTAGGAGGGCCCTATGTGGGCGGGACCTGGATGAGCGGGCGGGATAAAGGCCACAAACCTACCTGGGCGCTCGGACTGCAGAGTGCCAGCCGCGCTAGATGGATTTTTCCAAAGACTCTAAGAGTTAATAAAAAAGAGAAAGAGCACAGCTAGAGCTGCTATCGGCGTGGCATCTTGAGCGTGTTTACATCAAACAAAAAGCTTAGTTTCCTTCATCAGGACTTAATGGAAAAAGTCCGAATGTGAGGACTCTGGTAAATGTTTGAGTCCCAGCTTTAGGAATGTCCTGGAACAGGCCTCACACATAGGCCTCTGCTTTCATTAGGAAAAGCAGTTGACTGTAATTGAGAACTATGCACCAGACACTATTCTTAACACTGTAAATGGATTTTAGTCCATTTTAGTCCTCATAACAACTCTATGAGGTACCTACTAAGATCATCCCCATTTCACAGATGAGGAAACTGAGGCTCAGAAACACGGACACGTTTCCCCAGTGTCCAGCAACATGCAGAAGCACTTGGGTTCAGGTCTGAGTCTACAACCTCAGCTCTGCCAAACAGGGATAAAAAGCTGAAAGGAAGGTTTGCAAAGTCAGGTAGGTGGTTGGTTTTCAAGAAGCCTCGAAATCTTTGGGGTGAGAGGCAGGAGGAGGGAGTGCTTGCTTTACATTCAGATTCTCTGACCCCAACCTACCCACTGTCTGGTTTTGTAGGACTGTGGTGGAGCACAAAAATCTGCATTTTCAACACGCTTCTCAGTGATTGAAGAAGCAAGTCAGCAGAATGCTTTTGGATCATCACGTTTAAAGCACCCCTGCAATTTGCCTAGATGACCGCTGAGGAGAGTAACAATGAGTTTGAGATGGGAAAGAGATTATAGGTGTACTTATTTTAAAAACATCAATAAACCTCTACTGCAGGCTCTCCAGAAGTATGTCCCTTTTCCCCAGGGGCACCAACACCTCGTGGTTTCCGGCGTGATCCCAGGAGCCGCCTCCCGCTCGACCCCGCTGCACCCTACGCAGCGGCCGCAGCGGAGCTGCTTAGCTCTCGGGTGGCTGTGATCCCACCCCAAGTCGCAAGGGGCGCCATTTAGTTTCGTTCTGAAGGGAATGCAGTATCCCTTCCTTTCTACGCTTGCGTGGAAATGAAGCCTTACTTCCGGTTCTGCGCGCGCACAACCTGACAGGAGCCAAGTTGGTGAGTGATTTCTCACATAGTGAAGTTCTTCGACCCCGTTAGACCCTAACTCCCACGTGCCTCGGGGCTACCCGCCTCATCAGAGAATTTAATGCGTGGCCCGCAACCATGCATTCTTCCCCAGCCTTCCTCCCTCAGTCAGCCTCACGGCCCCAGTGCCGCCCTCTCCCCACGACCCTCTGGTCAGGCATGCGCCCCGTAAGCACGCCTTACTCTCTTAACACCCAGACCCACTATGTCCCCGGTCTCCTCCCTCAAGTCTCCTTTTCCGAAGTCACGTCCTCCCGTAGAGCACTTACGCAGGGATTGGTAGGAGTGTCCTAGATGGAGAACAGGCTCTGGTACCCCACTGAGCACCCCTTCGCTCCTTCCCTCGCTCTCATTGCAGACGGTCACCATGAAGTTAAACCCCTTCGTGACTTCGGACCGCAGCAAAAACCACAAACGCCACTTTAATGCCCCCTCGCACGTGCGCAGGAAGATCATGTCCCCGCTCTCCAAGGAGCTGCGGCAGAAGTATAACGTCCGCTCCATGCCCATCCTCAAGGATGATGAGGTCCAGGTACGTCTCCCTCGGTCCTGGTTACCCAGCTGTGAGGCGCTCCCGCGCTGCCTGTTCCTGAGAACATGGTGTGTGCTTGGACTTGGGAAGTGATAAACTCACATGCCCGTGGACCCTGGTAGGTAAGGAGACATGGTAGACCAGAGATGGGACCCAGAGCCACCAGAGAGTGCCTGCATAGCTTAATTAAGAGCACTCAGATTCAATTCTTAAATAATATATTTTTAAAAAAACCAGTATGCCTACTAAGCAAAACTCTACTTTTCGATTGAGCCCCGAGCTGCCAATTTTTCAGACATTGCTCAGGGTTGCTCTTTGAGCCAGATTCCACAGGGAAAAGTGCAGCCGTAGAGTAGTGTTTGGGTATCATTGCTTTGCCGGAGGCTAGCCATTTGATGGTTCTGGATTTGTCAGAGAGAATGGAGAAGCAGCAGCAAGTCAAAAGGGTAAAACTATGAAAGAGCCCAGCCCAGGTGAGGTGGTGTAAGCCCTTTTCTCTTTATTACTGGAGTCTAGGGGGTTTGGCAGTGGGGGAGGGGGAATGAAATAGGCAGGGGCTAGATTCAGTCCTTAAAGGAATAGTTGTTGAACACCTACCAGGCACAGTTCTAGACACTAGCAGTGAACAAGACTGAGAAGACCCCTCTTACCATGGAGCTCACATTTTAGAGCAGGTGTCCCAACCTCAGCACTGTTCGTAATTCTGGATATTTCTTGGTTGTGGGGAGCTCTCCTGTGCATTGTAAGGTGTTTAGCAGCATCCCTGTCCTCTACTCACTGGATACCAGTAGTACACTCTCCTCTCTGTTGTGACAACCAAGATGTCTCTGAACATTGTCAAAATGTCCCCTAGAGGTCAAAATTCCCACCAACTAGGCACCACTCTAATAGGGGATAATAATGTCACCTATATGTCTGTACATCGTAATTTCCTGCCACATAATAATATAACCACAACAAAACAGATAGTGCTTATATACAGACCTTCTCCATGCTAGGCAGGCTTGAAGTACTTCATGCCGTTTCTCTCAGTTTAATTCTGATTTTTCAGATTCCTTTGTTGGCTATTTCTCCCCTCTCTGATCCCTAAATGCTGAGTTTGTCTGGGCCTGCACCTAGTCTAACATCTCTTGCCTTCATTGTGTACCTGGGTGCTACTATCTATTCTCAGAGCTTTAAATGTCTGCTCTGTGTTTATAACTCTCACTTTTATATCTCAGTCCAAACCACTTTTCTGGGCATAAACCTGAGGTCCAACTGTCTGCTGAACATTTTTATTTAGCTATCTGAAGCTTCTTACCCAAGAGCACTCTTGATCCCAACACTCCTACTGCCTCTGTAATCTGATTCTCCTTTCACACTTCCCTTAGCATATGCACTCCTCCACTTGCATATGCCCGAAACCTTTAAATTAGCCTTAACATCTCTCTCCCTAACCCACTTCTAATCTGTCTCTTTAAGTGTGAACTGATACTACCTCTACAATAAGTCTTAAATCTGACCACTTCTTCACATTTACTGTTTGGTTCAAGGCATCTCCAGCTTCCCCTCTTAACCTTGTCAGGCATTCACCCAAGAGGGCTATTATCAAATACCCTTCTTAAAACCTATCAGTGGTGCTTGATGTACTTAGTATAACATCTAAGCTCATTGACAGCAAGGCCCTGTGTGATCCAGTCCTGGACTTTCCAGCCTCCTGTCATCCTGTTGTCCTCCATGCGCTCCATACTTGAAACAGTGGCCTTTTCAGGTTCTTAAATACGCTTTCAGCTCTTCTGCCTCTGGGTCTTTGTCCAAAATGCTCCCTCTGCCTGGAGTGCTCTTCCTTCTCCCTTACATCTGACTAACTCCTTGTTTTTCAGGTCTTGTCTTAAAAGTCAGTTCCTCAGAAAAGCCTTCCTAGATACTTCAATAAATATTAAAGCATAGCATTCTTTATTTTTCCTTCATGTCAATGAGCAAAATTTGAGCTCTTTAAGAAAAAACAAGCACAATTTATATACAGTAAAATGTGCAGATGAGTTTTGGCAGATATAAAACCATGTAGCCCTCACCCTAATCATGCCATAGCCCATTATTGTCATCCCAGTAAGTTCCTTTATGCTCTCTTCCAGTTAGTGTTCATGTATTTGCTTGGGTACTCATGAACTGCTTACTACCCATCAGACTAAGCTCCTGACACCATAGAACTTCTCTCTTTTGTTGCGGGAACTTAGTGCAGAGCCTGGCATACAACAGGGGCACAGTCAGTATTTGCAGTATTTGTTGGATGAGTGGAGAAATTGGATGGAATTGGAAGGTGAGATAAAGAAAAGGACGGCGGGAGAAAGAGCTGTCATTTGTAAAATGCCTGTGAGGTATGAACTGTTTCCTGTTTAGATAGGAAGAAACTGAAACTCAGGTTAAATAATAAAGAAATAATACAGGAAATGAATGTCCAAGTCAGGAATTCAGGTCTGACTCCAAAGGGTGTACTGAATTCTGCTTCAGGAGAATAAAACAGTCCCCAAATTGGCAGGCAGGTCTGTTAAAATTGCCTTTTCTCTCTTGGGATCCTGTGAATCTCACTTAACCTCTTTGCGTAGTTAACTATTTCTCCTAATTCATGGAGGAAATTAAAGCTGTCATCCAGGAACTTCAGAACTCTTGTCTCTACACTTTCTAACTTAGCTGCAGTTCCATCCTATTGTCTTCGCTCTCTCCTGTTACAATGAAAATGATGGCCTGTTTCTGTCTAAAGCTAATCCGTCTGCTGCTGTATACTGCAGTCCTCCATTCTCTTCTGTCTTTTGAGATCTTTCTATCCATTGTTTCCTTTACCTTTTCCCCATACTTGTTCTTTTTATCATAAGCATTCAAACACATTTTTCCCCTCTTTAAAGATAAAGAAAATTAGCCTTTAACTTCGCATTTCCCTCGAGTATATATCATCTCCCTCATCCTCTTGAGAGCCAGGTCCCTTTGCGTACTGTCCTTTCTCACCTTCACCTTCTCATCCCTGGTGAACTCAGCCTCCTTACCATGAACGGCTTCCATCCCAGTGCTCCCCTTGCTGTGATCACTATGACCAGCTTGTTGTTTACCCTTCCTGTAGTTGACCCTTCCATGGCATTTGACGTTCTTTGGCTACTGTAACACCATATTTTCCTGATTTCCCATTCTGTCTGGACACTTCAGTCTCTCTTGCAGGGTCCTCCAAAATGTCGGCTTTTCTCAGATTTCAACATTCTGCCTTCTTACACCACTAGCTCCCTGAGCAGAATCAGGCTTCGGATTGCCATCTCTGGATGACTCCAGGTTTTTGTAACCAACCCATTTGGCCTTCCAGCTATGTATTAAATCTCCACTAGAATCTCACCAGATGCCTCGAATTCAACATTTTTTAAACTAAACTATTATCTCCTAAAATCTGTTTCTTGCCCCAGGTTCCATGCCTTTGGGAAAGGTTCCATGCCTTCCTCCATTCATCTAGTTACCTGACCAAAATCTGGGGTCATCCTTGCCTCTTCTCCATACCTGCTCAGTCCAGTCGATTGAGTCTTTTCCTCTCCCCCTCCTCAGTGGATCTAGCTTTTGTCCACTTCTTTTTAACCAGGCTGTTCCTTTGGTTTCATTTTATTAATATCTCTCTTCAGTCTTGACAGTTAATAGGGATTTTTTTCACAGAAGTTTCCACATGAGGGTCTCTTTTTTTTTTGTATTAAGGAAGGTATCATTGATATACAGTCTTATGCTGAGGTTTCACATGAGCAACATTGTGGTTACTACATTCCCCCCTATTATCAATTCCCCACCACATACCCAATTACAGGCACTGTCCGTCAGCATAGTAAGATGCTGTAGAGTCACTACTTGTCTTCTCTATGCTATACTGCCTTCCCTGTGGGGTGTTCTCTTTTCAACCTGAAAATTGCTTTGGTAAATAAGCTAAAGATCTTGGTAGACATTTTAGGAGTATTGCAGTTCTCCAATTCTTTATATGTGATATTTCCTCTGTGCTTATCAAATAACATCACCTATATTGTGGCTACTGTTTAATAGGCTCTTGTGTTCAGGGAAACTTTAATCCAGTTGGTTTTTTTAATAGAGTTGGAGCATGAAAAGATTTTCGGTATGTGAAAGCAGCCCATGAGATCTAACATTTTTTTATGACTGTAAAATATTTGTACTAATTTGTAGAAATCTTGAAATTTGAAATAATGTACACTTAAAAAGCAGTCACCTGTAATTCCACTTCCTGCCTAATGGCAACCATTATCAACCTCTGGGTGTATGTCTGTTCCATCTTATTATATGCCATATATATGAAACAAATACACAGAAGATTCAGTCCATATATATAGCTTTGTATTCTCCTTTTTTCTCTAATGGTCATATCTTGAACATTTTCCTAAGTCATAAATTATTTTTTGAAAACATGGATTTTAAATGGTTGCATGAGAGTCTCAGTATATCTTTATTCTTCTCTGTTTAGATCTTCAGAGTGATTGTATCTTTTCTTTTTAAAATTTGATTTTTTTTAACAGATATAATTAACATATAACATTGTATTAGTTTTAGGTGTACAGTGATTGTATTTTTTACTCTCAGGTCTAATTCTGTAATGGTTACTATCCTAGTTGAAGGAGTTTTTTGTTTTTCAGAAAAGAGAAGAAAAAAATTCATGTGAGGAATCTTCACCTAACTTGGCATAATACAAAGCAGAGTTACATAAAAAAAAAAAACAGCTGACTTTTGACTTTCAGGATTAATTCTGCTTTTGTTTAAAAAGTTGTATGTTAATCTGTGTGTTCCTGATAGTTTCCCCAGTATTATGTTCGTGCATTAGAAGGGGAGAGAATTCTCCTTGGTGTTTTCTCTTAGGTGGTTCGAGGACACTACAAAGGTCAGCAAATTGGCAAGGTAGTCCAGGTGTACAGAAAGAAGTATGTCATCTACATCGAGCGGGTGCAGCGTGAAACAGCTAACAGCACAACTGTCCACGTGGGCATTCACCCGAGCAAGGTATGGCCTGGGACTGAGCAGTGGTAGCAGCCATGTAGTGTACTGCTGCCATTATTGACGTGTTGGTACTGTCTGCACAGATGGTCCAACAAGGACTTCAGGGGAGGACTTCAGGGGGAGGTCCAGCAGGCTTGATTGATCTCATTGGCTTAGTGATATAATCAAGGATCCAGGTTTTTTTCTTGTCTGTTTTTTGACCTTTGGTGAAGGCTCTGTCTTCAAGCAGGAGGATTCCAGGCAGTCCAGGCTTCACTTCCCTACTACGTGGTATCCAGAGGGAGAAAGAACATCTCTTCCTGTGACCTTCACACTCTCCTCATGGAATATGCTGTTCTTCCTTTGCACTCCAGTTTTATACCCTGTGTTGTAAGGTCTCTCCTCAGTTTCAGATCCTTTAGGGCAGAATAGTTGAGATCTTAATTATCCATATGATCTCTGTATTACCCAATAGCAGGTGGGAATGCAGATGTTTTTTAAACAGTGCATTTTGCCAGCCAAGTGAATGATAGACAAACCAGAAACATGTTGGTAGTATCATTTTTCCCAGCCCAAATGGCATTTCATATCACTATAAACCATCTAAATTGTCCTAGATCCTCAGGAGGTAAGGGAGTTGGGTGCCAGAAGAAGTGATCCAAGCTCTGGTTGTCAGGGGAAGCTCTGCTGTACAAAATAATTGTGGTTGTAAATTCTTTCTACTTAAAAAAAATGAGGTGTTTGTTTTCTCACTCCTAACAGGTGGTTATCACCAGGCTAAAGCTGGATAAAGATTGGAAAAAATTTCTTGAACACAAAGCCAAATCTCGACAAGTTGGTAAAGAGAAAGGCAAATATAAGGAAGAACTTATTGAGAAAATGCAGGAATGAATAAAAACTATTGTGGAACTGTGGTTTAACTGTAGATTTTTAGCGTGGTGTGTATCTCCTTGAAACTTCGAAATGTGTCTGGAACATTTTGTTCTTGCTATGTGGTTCTGTAAATCTGCTCTTGCTGTTTTAGTAATTTTATGAATAAAAATTATAAATGTTTTCCTTATGACAAATGCAATTTTCATTGTTTTATAGGTAAAATCTATTTTTTTATCAGTTCCCCATGGACATTTATTTATAACATTTAATTCTTTGGAGGAGCAAAATAGCAGTGATGGAATGGCCCTGTTCCTGCCTGGATCTTCTTGCTTTTGGGATGGACAGGACAGGGCTCTGGTCCCTGATTCTGAGATTTGTTCCACACGCAGCAGGGATGTTACCATTAGCATGCTGAGCTATATGTCTAGTGAATCTATTATTTGAATCTTCTAATGAGTTTTATTTTTATTCTTGACCAACACATGTTTTAGGACCCCCAAATTTGCACTGAGGTCAGGTTTCATACTGGATTAAATTTTTAGTTGGGATGACATAGTGTCATGCCTGGTATGGGCCCTGGGATCCAACCATTACTCTCATCAGTAAACTAAAATTATGCTTTTCCTAGGAGCCCGAATTGGCTTCTTTTCAGCAACTTGTTCACTACAAATGATAGCTAAGAGCTTTGAGGGCTGTAATACACTCACCCGCCATCCTGGCATCCAAATCATCCCGAACCGCTTATCTTGAGCTTGTGAGTAATAGTGTGATCAAGAGCAGGAACTCAGCATCAGATGTGAATTCTAATCCCAGCTCTGTTCCTAGTTGTGTGACCATGGGCAAATTGCTTAACCTTTCTGGGCCTCAGTTTTGTCATTTATAAGATGAAAATAAAGAGTATGTACTTCAAAGTTGTCAGATATAACCACTTGAGATACTGCAAGTAAAGCAGAGCTCAAGAAATTCTAGCTGTTTTAGAGGGGATTGGCAATGAGTTTGTTTGCAGGAGCCGGGGGAAAAGTTTTTCTCAAGGGAGTTTAAACAAATGCTGGTTCTTGAACCAAGGAAAGGATTTAAGGGCAGCAGTATTGTGTTTTGGTTGCCTCAGGAAATGGGGACGAGAATGCCAGGTGGGTGGGCCTGCCTATCACAGTTCAGGGGTTTTAGCACGTTTTCTGGAGTGACTTTGAATTAAGCAGTTTCTAACTGACCTTTTCACCAAATTTGCATTTGTCCATTCATTTGAGTGAGTCCCTGTGCTATTTTGGGAAGACTCCAAACTTTCAAACTTCAGGTAACTGTTTCTGAATATCTGCTTTCATATCACACTCAGGCATGAGCTGTTCAGCTACAGAGCTTTCAGTGTGAGTTGGGTTGGCAAGTATTTAAATCTTCCAGGAACCAGGCTGTACTCTACTAACCAAGAGTCCACTATACTCTACTGATGCTCCAGATGTTGAGTGAGCCTTTCCCATCTGGTGGCTTGGGTTCTTTTCAGTTCGTTTTTTTTTTTAAGAAGTAATATTTATATATGGTACAACATAAAAAGGCACGAAAGGTATACAGTGAAAAATCAGCTTCCTTGTCACCTTGATATTCAGTCACTCAGTTCTTTCCAGAAGCAGTCACTCTTTCCAGTTTCTTTTGTCTTTCAGAAATATTCTTTGCATATATGATTGGGTGCTTATTACAAGTTTGATCTATGAAGAAATCTTTATGAGAAAAGCAGATCATCTAAATGTAAACAGCTATATAAAATTGATTTATGGCCTGAATACCATGATTACAATGTAAATATATACAAATAATAGAGAAGACATTTTTTGTGCATCAGAATTAAACTAAATCAGCCACATCCTAGCCTAGCCTCATAGAAGGGCAGGTAGTTGTAGAGCAGTTTTTCAAAGGTCTCATGCATTAGGTGGGTTCAGTTGTGTGTAATTTAGGGTTTTTTTTGTTGTTGTTGACTTACTGTTTGAAATAGGAGAAGCAGCATGGCTTAGTGGGAAGAGCAGTAGCTACTGAAGGCTGACATTCAGATACCAGTTCTGCCACTTAAAACAGGTAGACATCAGGCAAGTTACAAATCTGAGCTGTTTTCTGATATATAAAATGGATTTAATAATATCTATCTAATGTGTATGGGTATTGAATGAGATGGGTAATTCAAAGCACCTAGTTCGATGGCATGTGGCTGTCACTCAATAAATGGTAGCTGCTATAATCAGTGAGGGCTGCCCACAGTTGCATATCCATATATACATGCTGAGCAAATGAATTGGGAGCATGCTGGAGCTTTCAGCTCCATGTAAGATAAATTCTAGCCGAAATAAGCAGGCGACGAGAGGCAACAAAGGGCCAGGCAGTTTATTTGAGCGCAATTCCCAGGTGATGTTCCCCGGTCTGGCTATCACAGGCCGGTGAAGTCATGCTCAGCAGGGCAGGCAGCAAGTTTTTAAAGAAGGCAGGGAGAGGGAGAGCAAAGGTATATAGTGGTGGGAGGATTGGCTCTCCTAGGGTATGTGGGGGTCTCTCATTGGTCTTTAGCCAGGTACTGGAAAGTTACCACTACTCTTCTGGCTTGGGGGAAGGGCTCTAGTTAGGAATGTTATCCGATCAGGCTCTGGAATATTGTCAGACAGGAACCTACCTGTTGGTCTCTTCGCCTTGTTTGGTGAGGCCTGAGCTTGTCCAGCAGGCTCACCCCTTCCCCTGGTGCCTCCAGCCTTACACTCCAGTAATTTCCAAGCTTCCAGATCAGCTTGGAGAGGAGCTTTATGATTCTATGGCTTTGTGATTTTGCATGCCTGTTTTTATTTAAAGGGTTAGGCTTAGGAAAGAAGGGCTCTTTGGGGGTTGCACTATGTTATTTCAGTCAGCTCTTGTTGACTTTATCCTATTGGGGTTGCCTCTGAGGCTTTTCCTTGTTAGGGTCCAGGCTTCCGAGGCTTCCCCAGAGAACAAACTACACAGGCATAGAGATGTAAATTCAAGCAAAGTCTTTATTCAGCTAGCTAACTGAGGTCCAAGTCAGCCCGATGCAGCGGGTCTCAACAAGGACCCCGAGCACTCAGAGCCAAGGGTTTATATAGCAATTTCAAAGCACTTAACTCATAGCAATTTTCTATAACTATACATTATTCTTGCAAGACATATATCCTGGGGTTAAGCAAGGGCAGGGTAAGACTACTCTTCAATGGTTAGGGAGGTTCTGCACGATAAGCTTGGTATGTAAGATTTACTGACCAAGGTTAGCTGACCAAGGGTCACAGCTGCCCACCACCCGGTGCTCATGATTAACTTGTTTTTCAAGGCCTTACCCAG